CGGGCCGGGCGGCGGCCCCGCGGGCGGAAAGCGGCCCCGCGGCGCCCGCTCCAGCGGGGGCGGGCCGGGCGGAGCGCTGAGGCGGGGGAGAGCGGAGCGGGACGGGGGGGCGGTGCCGGGGTGCTGCTGGGGGCATTGGGACCGCCGTGCGGGCGGCGTGCGGGAGCGGCGGCGGTGAGCGAGGCTGTGCGGAGCGGTGCTGTGTCCTCACGCGATTGCCGCGTGTTTCGGTTTGTTAAGAGTTGCGGCTTAGTGCCCGAGCGGGGAGCCCGCCAGCGAGGCTGTATTTTGGCACATCTCGGAGCCAGACGAGACTTGTTTAATTTGCAAAGTCTCGCTGCTGCTGCTGCAGCTCCGTGTAATTTTCCTCTCTTGCTGAAAGTCCTCTGGAAACGCTGCAAAAGGCGATGAATATGCAAAGCGCGGCGCTCAGCTCCGAACCCGGCGCGTCCTCGGAGACTTCAGAACGCCCCAAGTGATGGAGATGTATTATGAAACGGTGACTTTTGCCTCGAATACGGGAATGCGTGTTTCCCCCTCTTCCTATTGAATCGGTGACGCTCGGGTCCCGTCGGCGTGCGGCAGTACCTCCGAAGAGGCGGTTGGGTCGGGCTGTGGATGGGGACGGGGCTGGCGGCGTTTGCTGCGTTGCCCTCCGCTCCCGCTGCGGTCAGCGATAGGGTGGGGGCGGTAGGGGCGAGGGAGGAGGCGTGGAGCGCAGCCTGGGCGAGGGCAGCGCGGGTCTGAGCCGTGATTTCCTGGTTCCTGTACGGCTGGCACGGCGTGCAGCCCGACCTGTGCTCCAGACTGCTTTTTCTGCCACTGTGAATTTCCTGGCTTCATTGTTCTGTGCGTGGAAAATGTTAAGGATGAACGCGTATCCTTGTAGCCCCTTGTACTCATCTTGCGTTGCAGCCCTTTGCTGTGAGGGCTGGCAGCTGGATGGGCTCAGCAGGTTCGTACGCTCGCTGTACAGCAGCACGGCATTCGGGTGGGCATCAGAGGAGCCTCTTGTGTTGCTGCTCCCAAAGCAGCTCATTCTGGGGTGGCCGTGGAAGAAGAAGAAGAATAGGAATGCCCCTGGTGCTCCGGGGCCTCTTGAGGTGCTCTCCCTGCTGAGGAGCATATGCAATTTGTGGTGTCTGCTTCTCACTGTCTGCCCATTGCATAACCCTTCTTCGTGCCTAGCCTTTGTCCCAAAAGTGCTGTCCCTGCTGCTCTCAGAAATAGTAGCAAGGGTGAAAAGCACTCCTTTTTGCCTCAGAGAAGCTGTTTAAACATCTCATGAGAGATGGGTAGCAATGGTACCCCGATGAGTGGGTGCTCTGCGGCTGGTGTTGCCCAACAGACAAGCAGTGATAGCAGCACTGTGCCCTTTGGGTTAGGGGCTCCTGATTCTTGGAATGCCACACTGCTGTCTCAGCAAACCCTGGTTGCTGCTTCTCCTGTTTCCCGTCTCACAATTCCAGGTTGACCAGCTCACTGCCTTCCTGGCTGCACAGAGCTGACCTGGGGAGCGGGCTGGGAGAGGCTGGGCAGGCAGCACAACTGGCAGGGAGCAGGGCTGCCCTGTTGGGAAAACTCTCAAGTGCTCGGGATGTTGTCGGGGTGAGCGTGGTCCAACTGGAGGAGCTCAGCTTGATGAGAGGAGAAGGGAGGTCGAAAGGGGGAGTGTTTAAAAACGTCTGCTCTGCGGAAATTAGGAGCGAGCTTACATTGGAAAATTTGCGTGGCCCTCTGAGGAGTTACTGTACTAAATTTGGAAAGCAGAATTGGTCTTCAAAGTATGAAACAAGGGGATTTCAGTCTTGCTTTAAATGCAGACCTCAGCGCAGTCTGAACTGTGGACTCACTGCTCACGCCTCCATAGTACGTATTAATCCAGTTTTATCTGTCATGAGGAGATGTGTTGATTAGAGCCTCTAGGTAAAGGCTGCTCATGGGCTAT